TTTTTGTCTGGTTGACTCAAAATCCTGTGGCACATCAGTAATTGTCACACGCTGCTATAATGTGTAAGTGTGTATGTCTAAAGTGGTCAGCAAAATTGATTTGGTTTACACTCCTAGCGCTGCTCACCTTCTCTCCTTTGATACCGCGATCACCAGCTCTGCCCGGCACACCCTAAAAAATACCACAGACAAGTAAATGTTAGTGTGGATATAAAGATGATACGTCATCAGTTCTCTTTTGGAAAGTCTTACCTGTTTTCCTTCTGGGCCAATTGGACCGGACGGACCCTGGAAATCAAAATAAAAGTTATTATTACCCACAGCTGCTCGTATTTGCGAGCTGCGATTAATCTTTACATCAAAACATGAATATATAAATAAATAATCTTGCAGTCACCGTGGGGCCTTTAGGTCCACTGAAGCCTGGTAATCCTGGATTTCCCGGCTCGCCCTTGTCTCCCCTGAGACCCTGTAGGACAGCAGAGACATGTTTGTCACATGGCACACTGTAGATGAGCAGGGTTGCATCATCATTCTCGCTCAGCATGCAGCAGAGCTCTGGATGAAATTTTCATAAATATTGTGGATTGAAAACATTAAAATTCATAGTTTCTAACCAGCGCGTGGGTTCAAAGACAAGCTGGTTAAAGCATCCACAGAGTGGAGAAACGTATTAATGCCCATTTTATTGACACTTTCTTTTAAAAAATGCTATATTTTAAATCTTTGATGTGCTTCTCTATCACCTCTGCTCTTCTCCACTCACTGCACCCCTTCCTTTTCTTTGCGTGGTAAATCTGACATCTGATACCATTTTGGTCGATATCTGACTCTTCCTCTGAACATCTCCTTCGCCATCCACTGAAATCACTCTCCATCTCCCTCTGTAACCTTTCTGCATTCTGGTTGCTGCCCTCTTCCCTCCCCCAGGCTGCTCCTGTTGATCTGCTTCCTCTGCTGACTGATATCATCGACTCCTCTGATAACTTCCTGCATATCGTCTGCCCTCCAGTTAGCAACATTTAGTCCACCTCCAAAGATACCATCCTTCAGCCCACAGGTCGGTGCACAGGTCCTGCTATTCCTTCCCACAGCTTATTAACATTCTCGTTGCACATGATACCGACACATAAACTGATTTGATTTCAGCATGAATCACTAAACAAACGCTCTGCATATTTCAGCCTTTTCCTCAATACTCTGACGTTACCAACTCTACGTTTAGCTGTGACATTTCCAATAATGTGACACTGCTTTACAATAAACAGTTTGTTTCAGGATTTATTTACCCTCAAATAAAGGTTTATTTATCATACTAATGATACAGCATTTAAAAATGTCACTGCTGCGAGGTGTTTTATATCAATCATGATGATTTACTATTACACCTGATATTAAGGAGTAATTTAACACCAGCGTTTCACCTCTGACCACGCTCAGCATGCTCTCTCCTGTTTGGGCTCTCAGGTCCTACTAAGTGTATTTAAAACCCACGTATAAAAAAGGGCAGAGTACTTCTATGTGAAATATGACTTACAAAGCTGCCTTAGAGTTAGAGGAATGGTCTCTCTGACTGATGCTGATGGTTGACCATTGGGCTTCACCTCAGCTAATTTGACTCAAGGAACTCTGAAACATCTTTATGTAGTTGGTGCCTTTTGAGGAACTCATTGTGTTTTGCACAGACTATTAGTGGCTCTGTGTCTGCAGCCTATAAGGTTCAGAGGTTCAGTGCACAGAGGTTAACAGAGGTTATCGGCTAACACTAGCTTGCTAGTGTTTGTGCATAACTTTGGTGGCTGGGTTTCGCTTTTGGGAACACATTACACATTGAACCTCTACGTAATCACTTTCAGTCACAAGGAGTTTGAATAGGTTTGGCACACGGAGGTTTGCTCTGACTCGGATTGACTGCAATCACTCACAGACAGATTGGTGAAGATTTACTAACAATAACGGTCACAGCAACTAACTGAGTTGTTGCAGACTGGTCGCCATCTTCTAAGTAACCACATCGAAGGTGACTTGCACACTGTTGCATTAACTTTGGTTGTAGTGCAGTCTCCAACATCTGCTCTTCCTAGTGTTACTGTAGCAACAAGGACCAATTCTACATACAAGGCTTCTCTTACAAAGCAAGAAGTATTGTTCATATTATGGCAATAAAACCATCACCAAGAAACTAATGGGGGACATCATGATGGCTACATCTATCTCCAGTTGTCATGTTTCGGCTGTGTCCAGGCAGGAGAAGGACCCAAACGCAAAACTCACGACAACAAAATTAAACTCAAAAAGCTGCTTTATTGCAGAATGGCATGGAAAACCAAACTGGGACACGGGTAAACTAAAACGCAAGGAAACACAGCCATGAGGGAGACTACGACACTGACAAAGAGAAACACAGGGCTTAAATACACAGAGGGATAACGAGGGA